GTGGTTAGTGCCAAATATTCATTAACCCCGAGGCCTCTCCTGAAATTGTGGCCTGGTGTGGACAGAAACTGTGGTTAAAAAAGAGTGTTAGTAGTTTTATTTAAAGGAAGAAAGACTCAAGTAAGCTGAGTGTCATACACCAGGAAAGTGGTACAATAAACTTCAGCCATTATTATGAAATATTTTTTAAATGACTTAGGGAAATGATTCATGGGGGAATGCTTGTGATACACCCACCTCAAGAAACAATGGACACCCATGACACAGGTTATGATTCATACAATATTGAAAATAACATAAAATAAAATAAATCAAAGGTATTACCTGAAGTTGCTTACAGGATTGTATCAATTCATACTCATTATTTTGATTGATTGGTACATCAAGAGACAGTAATAATGGGCCCTCTCAGTAGTTGGTTCTTCCATGCATTGATTTTTTTTTTGTATGTATTTTCTCCCCTGTTGTACTGTTGGCAAACTAAAAATAAATTTGATAGTGGCTAAGTAGTTTATCCACAAATTTTCATTTTTGCACCGGGTGTTGGTGGCACATGCCTTTAATCCCAGCACTCGGGAGGCAGAGGCAGGTGGATCTCTGTTGAGTTCAAGGCCAGCCTGGTCTCCAGAGCGAGTGCCAGGATAGGCTCCAAAGCTACAGAGAGAAACCCTGTTTCGAAAAACCAAAAGAAAAAAATTTTCATTTTTGTGCACTTAAAATTTCTATTGCTACCTTTTAAAATCATTCAGGATAGGTCCTGAAGAAGTACCCATTTTTATGGAATTTCAAACAAGAATAAGGCTTAAGCATCCTTATTCAGTACTCCTTTTTTCTGTTGCTAAGAATCTTAATTTGAATGCTTCAAATTTTTGTAACTATAAAAATTATAATGCAAATCTAAATAATTTTAAAATCTCATAATTATGGTTTTAGCTAATATAACTTTAATATTTATATTTATTGGTTAAGTATTAGCTTTATTGCATAGTAATTAGAGAATAAATCTTTTGTCTAAAAGGTAAAAAAACAATTACATAACAAGAAATAGCTTCACGTCAATAGTGGGGAGTTTACACTTTGAATCTGGATAACTGAATGTTTATTCAAAATAAATATTCAATACTTAAGCAGACAAATTCATTTAACTGAAAAATTAATTCCTTTCTGTAGTCCCCTCTTGCTATAGTTTCGCAGAGAAATGTTCCCCACAGTCTTGTGTTTGAACATTGATAGAAACATTGGCAGAGGAGCATGAGTGACAGGCACAGTCTTGAATAGCTGGGTATAGAAGAAGCATTGTACCTAGTATGGTTTGAATTAAGTCAAACCATCACCATTGCCACTGTGTTGAGGGTGCCTATTACAACAGGGGACTGTGCTGCCTGCTTTTTATTTCCTCTTCAAATTTTATTTACTACTAGAAACATGCTCTCTAGTTTGGCAGCCTAGATGTCCTTAGGCCAGTCCATCTCTGGCATTTTATGAAAGGGCTTACTTGATTGCCAATAAGAACAAAAACTGGACAACTGTTAGCACTTGATCTGAAAGAGATGGAGGGAATTACATTTGATGGAATGCTTATGGATATCCACTTGGGAAAGGAAAGGGCCTTGAGTTTTTTCTCTGTGATTTTTGGTGGCCCTGTTTTGCACTTCGAACCATTTTTGTAATTTTATTTGTTATGATTCTGTTACCAGTAGGTTGAAGGCTGTGACTGCCAAGATCAGTCAGCCAACCAGTAACAAGATCACAGGAGATATTTGAGAGATTTCTGGTAATGGAGGATGTACCCCAAGGAAGGACCCATTTTTTATCTAGGCAACCTATGTTAATAAGCTAATGACTTATCTAGCATAAAGAAAAATTGTTGTGGCTATGTATGTCTATTGAAACTTCTCTGAAGTTTGAAAAACATGAGCAAAACTTGAGTTAGTTCAGGAAGGGAAGAAAATCATTGAGCCAAAGTGGACTTATGGAGGCAATTTTAAATATGCTTATTTGCAACCAAATAGCAGTAAATGAGCACAGGATTATCTCTTGAGGTTAACGAACAAATTTCACAAAACACATAATTCCACATTATCCTCTCAAAGAAGTTTATTTGCACTCTGCTCTAACAAATATAGTTTGAAGGCAACAGTCATTTAAGTGTCATAGTGTGTGGCACAGATGAAAAGAGACAAACAGACTCAGAAGCCATCCAGCATTTCAAGACTGGTTTAACAAAAGAGGCACGTGTTACCCTATTAATACCAGAAGACATTTCTTTTCTCTTGCAAGCAACAGACTACATTTATCCGCATTAAGTAAAAACATATCTTGTTCAAGAAAATTATTTTTTCCTGATTTTCCTTTATATCACAAATGTCAGGGTAAGGCAAATCCTTAATGAGTCATATGATTAAAAACCCTATTTCCCGAGAAAATATATTGAACATATTCTGCTAACTTTGTTCTTGTTCAAAGCACAGCTGACATGCACCACATACAGAGAAATGTCTTTGCAAACCAAGTGCATCAAGCAGAACTGTACTAATTCACAAAGAGGCTTTTCAGTGTTTCATAGAAAGATTTACAATTAGCTGCAGTGATTAATATGTGACCCAGTATCATAGACAGTGCTTTGGATGTCTTCTTTGTAAGCTTTTATCAAAGAAGACTTGTCCATCATCTGAATAGTTTCTAGCAAGAGGAAAAGCCCCTTTGTCTAGCCTGCGGTGAGTACTTTTTTAATTAGGACTATTATGTTGAAGGTCTACTTGAATCCTCTGTATGCAAACATGACTAATAATAGGGCCACTTTCCACCCATCCTCCTATTGCCCTTTATGTCATGTGGCCTGGCTGGCTGAAGTGTGATTGGAAATGGCCATCCAGAATTCATGTGTGGAAGAGTTGGTCCACTTCCCACATGCACTGCATTGTACAGCCTGTGCAGTGACAGGGCCAGCAAACAAAGTAGTTTCCTTGTTTGTGATGCCTTCGGTCTGACCCAGAGCTAAACTTTTAATATTTCATTATTGAAGTGTAAATTAACTGCATTATTTATCTTAAAGCATACAATCATTCAGCCACATAGCAACCAAAAATCTACTGCAAAGCAAAAATGAAAATGTCTAATTCATAAAAAGAAGTTGAAGCAAATTCAGGAGTGGGACTCCTCCTTCTCTGTTTCCTAGATACAAGGAGTGCTTTTCTTTTCCTCTAGTTTTCATAGAACTCTCTCTTCCTATTTCTTAACTCATGCAAGAGAGAGAATCAAATGGCTGCCATTGGTAATAAGGATAAAAGTGGTCTGGATCACTTCAGTTCTGGTTGTCCCTCTTTCCTATTTGTCCATTTAGAAGCCTACTGTCTACTATACCCCCACAAGGAGTCCCAGTAGTACTTCCCTTGGGAGGTACAGGGAAACACCTTCCTAGCATGGTTCTCTTGTCAGGCACTTCCTAAAAATGATGGGTGCTTGTAAAATAGCTATGAAGATAGCAAGAAACTTTGAAGCTATTGATATCTAAATGGCATCCTTCCTTGGATTATTTAGAGCAAGCATTGTTCTAGAAAACAGTGTGCAATGGAGAGGTATATGCTTTTCCTGAAGAAAGACAAAAGGCCATGGGGAAACATCATGCAACTGCTGAAATATCCTTGTTGCTGTGATGAATTGCTTTAGAGAAAATTAGAGATGTTAAAAGGTAACCTATGCAGATGTATGATTTGCTACTTAACTCTGTTATACCAAATATGTTATCTGGAAGAGGCAATTAGTTCAGAAAAGCCAAAACTAGCCATAGGAGGATGGATTTTCCGCAGGAAAGGGCAAAACTAGAAAACTGGATGAGATATTTATAAAGTGGTATCATCTCACTGTTGACTTTAGATACTGTCAGTTAGTTCCACTTTTATCCACTTCTGTTAAGAATAGCAACATAAACATTCCCAGTTCTAAAACACTGTAGAGTTATTACCATGTCTTTGTAACCCAGAAGAGGCAGTGAGATAACTTTCATTTGTTCTAGGATAGTCGGGATGATGCCCAGGCTCCTATGGTCTTCATTGCTCGAACTAACATTATTCCACTGGCTTAAGTTGTTAATAGTTCTGGCTGCCTTTTGGATCAGTGGATGTTTCATCAAATCATCCTTGGACTTAGCCTGAGCAGACCAGAAAACCAGTCTGGAAGCAATGGCTCTTAATGCTCACACTTTTGAGTGTGAATTTCTGTGGGTTATCACACTTTGGCTCAACATGGATATTCTTTTATGAAAAGTAGAGTTTTCAAGTGGAACTTTGAAAACAAAATATTAGTATTTAATAGGTTTGTTTGGGTCCTAAAGGAAGCAAGCATGTCTCTCAGTCTTAATGATAGTAATACCCTTTCCCATTGTATACAAAGAACCACATCTCAGTGAAGACCTCATAAACCAAAGAAGCCATGCTCAAAATCAGTCTCAAAAGTGAGTGTACATGGCATCCTGGCTGTGGAGGTGGAGACCCCAGTGGCTTCCAGGTGTCACCTTCTTCATTAACCCTGATTAAAATATTTGGAACTCTTCATTCAGACTTCTTCAAAGTGTTCTCTGAGGCTTGTGCCCATTTTCTATCCTTCTTCCCTGTCTATGGATTATACCAAGGTTGGGCCTGGTGATTTTTGAAATTTAGCCTGCAGCTTCTTTTTCTTGGGAGAAATCACTCTATGGCCAGCTTTGTGAGATAACCAACAGAGCAGACAGGGGCCAGGAGATCCAGGTGTGTATTAACTCTATCACCAACCCTAGGGTGACGCATGGAGAAAAGACAGAAATGATAGGGACGGACGGAGTGCCTGAAAGATTGCCTTAGCATGGGGCCTCTCACAAGTGGAGGGAGCTTGCTTTCTTATTCTTTTTTTTTTTAAGTTTTTTTTTCTTTTTTCCCCTGTAGGTAAACAGAACAAAATGCAGCTGGAGATTAGAGCAAAGGACCCCCTTCCTTCTGCTGACTTGCCTCCCCCCCTCCCCCACCCTCTTCCACAGCACACACTATCATCTTCCCAAGTCCCCCAGGGCCAGGCCCTGCAATGCTGAGGGTTGTCATTTAGCTTCAGTTCTTTGTTCCTTTGCTTCATCTTGTGGCCCTGAGGAAGACAAAAGAGAAACAAACCATTTGTTAGATTAAAGATTAGGCATCTTCACAAGGCTTAGCAAGGAATACCTTTTTAATGCAGCCCTTGAAATGTCTCTCAGTCCTCAAAGGGGCCTAGGAATAGCTTATTTGATTATCAAAGAGCTTTACCTATCTGAACTGTAATTGCTGGCACATGGTATCTTTAAAGATCTTATAAATCACTGCTAATAAATGTAGGCCACATGCCACACTACTTCAGCTGATGGGGACGATTAACTCAAGTGTTCAAAGAATTCTTTGAACAATCTAACTTTGATGTAGCATTCCTTTCCCAGACTATTCCCTCATTCTAGATTTTAGAGACCAGTATGTAAATAACAATGATTTATATCATGCTGATGTGAAAAGCCATTGGTGAGACCTTTCTTGTTGAGTATCTGCTGTGCCTGCCACCCATGAAGCAACTTCAATGGACACTTTTCTAGAAGATTATGCTCATTTTAGTTACTTTTAACTGAGGTCTAGTTCACCTCCAAGGAAATGCACAAAGCAGATGTACTCATTGGATTCCAGTTTTAAGACTCACATTTAGTCTGTGACACTATCAGGATCTAAAAAAAATTCCTCATGACTCTAGAAATATCCCTTTCCCAAGTCCAATCCTGCTAGAGCCAACAATTGTAAGGTAATATTTCCTGATCTAGAACTTTGTATAACTGATGTCTCTACAAACAGGATGACACCAGCATCTTGTGCCTGGCTCACTCAGCGGAGTGTTTCTGAGAGTTACACTGCTGCTTCTTAGCTTTATTTCATTCTTTTGCAATGATAACTGCCAATGCTCTGTGTAGAAAAAAATCATTTTTTTCATCCATTCTACTGTGAGATATTTAGACTGGGACAAGATTATAGCATCCATGTGAATGGGGTTCAGCGTGATATTTATATTTGTGCATACAGTGTGCATTTACCTAGCAAAACAACCCCCACCTCTATCCCATGCCTAAGCTAGAGTTTTCTCAATTCCTTGCTTCCATGATGCCCATTTCATGTTGACATTTTGTTGTTGTTGTTGTTGTTGTTGTTTAGTGGCTTATTTCATTTAACATCATGTACTATGTTACATTCATTTTGCTGCAAAGGATGGAATTAAATTCCATTATGATATTTTATTTGTTCATGGACACCTAGCACAATTCTTTGTCTTAGATCCTGTGACTAATGTAGCAAGAAGCATGTGAAGTGGATAAGCCACGCTCATCAATACTAAGGATTGGGATGACTCTATTTCCCCTCTCCCCTATTTTTCTTTTATTAAAAATAGAATTTTTTCCCAGACATACACTCTGATTATAGTATTTCCTCCTCCAACTCCTATGAGCTATATCTTATAGCAATTTTCTTTTTCTTTTTCTGAGGAAATTTCATATTGTTTCCTACAGAGGATATACTGACTTACATTACCACCAACAATGGGTAAATTCTTTTCCTCTACATTTTCACCAGCCTTTTAAAATCAATAGTGATGCTGAGCGTGGTGAGATAGAATATTACTATAGTATGGATTTGCATTTCCCTGATGGCTAATAATATTCATTGGGTTTTTTGTTTGCTTGTTTTTGTATATTAGTTGGCCATGGTATTTCATGCTATTTCTTTTGAGAAATATATATATTTGGGTTATTTTCTTTCTTTTTTTTCTATTTGAAATTTGAATATTTATTTATTAAGTAGAAAATTTGCTTTTAAGGGTTTTTATTTGTTTGTTTGTTCATCTTTGTTTCTACCCTGGATATTCTTCCTTTCAGATAAGCAGTTGGCAACTACTCCCTCCCACTCTGTAGCTGTCTCTTTCCATCACGTTGCTTGTCTTAGAGACGTAGAAGCTTCTCGGTTGTATGTAATCCTACTTACCAAGTTTTCCTTTTGTTCCTGTGCTACTGGAATCCTATCCAAAAAAAACATTTCCCAGGCCAATGACATAGTGTTTTCCTCAAACTGTTTAGGGTGCTATATTTATGTCTTTGATCCTCTTTTAGCTGATTTTGTGCAGGGTGAAAAAAATGGTGTGCAAATTCCAATAACCTGCATGTGGACTTCTCAGCACCAACCGGCCTTCAACCTAGGTCTGGGTTTTTTTTTTTTTTTTCCTCTCTCTGGATTACATTTTTGACGTTTCCTATTTTCATATGAGTAGGCTTTTGTTGCTATTGTTCCATTTCTTCGAAGAAACTAAATTAGTTGCTTTTCTCATTGCTGTGTGACTAAATGCTGGTAGAGAAGCAAGGTAAAGGAGGAAGGGATTTTCTACATTGCAGTTTAAGAAAGGACACAGATGATCATGGCAGGGGGATAAGATGGCAGGAATGTAAGCAGTTACTGGACCTGTGTCCAAGGTACGGAAGCAGAAGGAAGACTGGGGGTATTCAACTTCCAGTTAGGACCCATAACCTTCCAAAATAGTGTACCAACAAGGGACAGAGTTTACAAACATTCAGCCTATAAGGGACATTTCACATTCAGATTTTTTTGTTGTTGTTTTGTTTTTCGAGACAGGGTTTCTCTGTGGCTTTGGAGGCTGACCTGGATCTAGCTCTTGTAGACCAGGCAAGTCTCAAACTCATAGAGATCCGCCTGCCTCTGCCTCCCAAGGGCTGGGATTAAAGGCATGCACCACCAAAGCCCGTCTTACATTGTTTCTAACAGGTATTTTTTCACAGCTGTTAAAAAGTGGTGATATACTGGGCTTTGAAGACATGCTTTCATTTCCCCTCATTTGGTATAGTGCTGGCCATGTCTGTTTTATTAAGGTGTAATATTTGTGATGGTGGGGTGGTAGTCATGAAATGTTGCTAAAACATGATAGTATTTAATATAGTGAAGTGATCATTTGATTTCTATCTTCCAGAAAATTGAATGTTAATACATTTGTTGATTTGCACGTATCAAACTATCCTTACATTCCTGGGATAAAATCAGCTTGATAATGCTGAAAGATCATTTTTATGCTAAATTTATTGGGCTTTTTAACTTATTTCATCTGAGTATAATAGTTTTGAAAGAATTGGCTTCAGATTTTTTTAAACATTTTTTTTTGTGTGTGTGTGAAGCCATAGTCATTATGGGTATGACCTTGAAGGTTTTTTTTTTTTTTTTGGTTTTGATGTTTCTCTGGGTAGATTTGGAGCCTGTTCTAGAACTGGTTCTTGTAGACCAGGCTAGTCTCAAACTCACAGAGATCTGCCTGCCTCTGTCTTCCAAGTGCTGGGATTAAAGGCATGTGTCACCACCACCTGGCTGACCTTGAAGGTTTTGCTGGAAGTCAAGTGGCCTTTTCCCCATCTTGATTCTCCTGTTATTCCTCAAGCATGAGTCCAAATGAACCTTTCTACCGTATACATGGATTTTTGTCAGAATGATTGAGAATACAAGATTATACCATTTTTTTTACTCCAATAAACCCTGTATAGGAGTTCCAATTACTCCACATTTTGTTGTACTAGATGATTATATTAACTTTGTAAAGGAGATATTTCAGTGTTAATCTACATCAAACTAAGTCTGATGAGGCTCAGTGGGTTACAACTATATGCAACTCCTAATTACAATGTTTCAAATACATTAATGTATGTCTGGTGTAATTAGTAATGAATTCCTATAGAGAGTAAATAAACTATTGCAGGGATGTTTACAAACAAGAGTCTAATCTATGACTCTGATAAACGAAGAACACTAGGGCATCACAAAGTGCAGAAGGCTGTGAGGATGTGGGGAATGAACTTGAAAGAGAAGTCAGAATTCAGTGTCCATGGTAGATTGTAGATATCCCTAAGGATATTTAAAGCTATGCATGTTCAAGTTTCATGCATAAAACAGTGTAGTATTTGCATATAAGCTATGTAATTTAAATCACCTCCAGATTACCAAAATACTTCATATAAGGCAAGGTTTTGTAGTTGTCATATTGCATTACTTAAGGATAGCAAGAAAAGTCTCTAAATATTCACTACATATACAATTTTTAAAAGGTTTTAAATTCATGGTTTTCTTGAACCAGTCAATGTAGGAATACCATATCTGAATAGCCAAAGGAGTTACCTAGTATGCATCAGATATATATGAGATAAAGTTCAGAAAACCAGTGAGGTGAAATCAGGTCAATCAGCAAGCTTTTCCAGGTCTCCGTTCCCTTATCACTTTAAAGAAAAGTTAGAGTACACTATGCCTGGGTTAATTAATTAACTAATTAATTAAGATGGTTAGTTTTAGTGGCCTATGAGTCTTTTTAAAGGATACTATTTGGGATCTGTATGAATACAGAAAACCACCATCATGCTTGCTGGGAGCAATGTTTGAGCTATTTCAAAGCAGGTAAGAGAAGAAATGGTGGCAGCTATGTTAACAAACTCATTTGCTATGCCCTTGTCATCAGTGAATTTTGAATTGGAAGTACTTAAACCTTCATGCATATTTGTGGTCCAGGTAAATAGATTTATGCTAGTACTTTACTTGGATATTGATTACATAGGAAATTAATAGGAAAATCTCAAAAGTTGTAATTTGTTGGCAGCTAAGAAATAAAATGCCAGCAAACACTGAGAAATGGTGGGAGCTGTTTAAATTTTGTTTCAGTTCATTACCTTTCAATGGAAACTTCACAGCTATTAATTCCTCTAAATGCACAGGATATTTGCTATACATGGATAAGGTAAAATGTTTATGAGCTTATGTTTATATAAATGTGTATTTTTTAAAACAATATTATGCTATACAAATGGTATTAGATTTACGGTCCCATAAAGTTCATGATCATCATGAAAAGGATACATATGTTCTCTCCTACAGTCTGAGCTGTCATTCCACTGTTATGGTGGAACACAAGTATGGTGCAAGGTGGTCTTCTCCCAGGGTGCAGAGACCTACAGGACCCAGAGAGTAAAGGGGGCAACCCTGGCACTATCTGTGTTTTACACTCACTCACAGTCTATTGTCCTATGGTGTTTTGAAACCTTTAGTTAGTAGTAAGCTTTCTCCATCTTTTCCACAACCCTCTCCAGTGATGAAAAAGGTTGGTAGATTACTTATCATCTAGACATGATGTAGACTGTGTGGTCTCCTTACTACTTTTATCTTCCTGGGTATTGCCCCAGGCTCATTGAACTCCAGATGTGTCTGTACAGATGACCATGTCTGCTGGAGTCAGTATGCTCTCTCAGGCACCTATTTTTCTGTCAACACATACTTATATGTCTTTATACATTCTCTCAGGTAAAAAATTTAGTGTTGCACTTAAAAAAAGATATGACAAAGAACACAGTGTGGTGCTTGTGGAAAGGTGATGCTACTGGAATAAGCTCAAGTTACTGAAGAAATCTGATCACTCTAGCAGGCAAGACTGATGAGAAAACACTATTCATGTTTTCAAAGTGAGGAAACCTAGGGTGCTCCATGATTTTAAAATGCCACATCTTGTCCTTTCTACTAAGGATGGCAAACTTCTAGGGGTAATCTTTCTTCTTCACACTGTGTTATTTGGTCCAAAGTTTAGCTCAAACTGCACTCTGGGACTTGACAAAACCAAGAGAAATACAATATGCCCTTCGAAAACTCTTCCTTATGGCTGGCTCATGGATGGAAACAGTACTCCGTGGGGCAACTTACCTATTGGAAATCTTCTTGCTGACACTCTGTTGGCTCATTGACACTGTCAACCTGACTGCTCATTTCAACTGTAAGCAGAAAAGGTTAAATAATTATCAAACCTCAACTCTTAAACACATGAAAATGGCCACTATGGCTTGAAAATGTTTCCCTTTCCTGTCTATGCCTTTTCTGTTTTCATTTATTCATGACATGGGGATCGGGAGATTAGGATTCACTCTCTTCTCAGCTGAGCTGTCATTTTATGCACGATTTGTGCTTTGGCAGTCTGCGTGTATTTATTACCATCCTTAAATAAATAAATTCAAAGGTCTTAATAGATATCTAGCAAAACAAAGGAAAGCAGATCATTGACATGCAGAGAGGTATGCTGTCCCTCCACAGTGGTAATGTCCCCTCCACAGTGGCAATGTCAATAGACCTGTTTGGTTTGCTGTGTTTTCAATTTCAGAATTCAAAACAGTTCCTGCAAATTGCCAATGGGTACAGCAGCCAGTAGATGCCGTGAGATAGAAAAGCAACACATGTGCTTTTTACTTGATTGTGTTCATTCTATGTGAGCATTTGCATAAAAATAGAATGTATAATTACTGCCTTTCTCCAGAAGTGGCCCAAAGCAGTCACTCTGCAAATTTCCAAGGGTCAGCAAGTTTAATGAGATTTTTACTATCCAAGCCCATACTGTAAGCTAAGAAAATAAATATAGAAGTGGACAATGGGGGACTGGGAATATAGCTCAGTTGGTAGAGTGCTTGCCTTTAATGCTTGAGTCATAAGTAGATTTCCAAGCACCACACATGGGAAACAGACAGTGATAGATAATTACAACAGTAAAACTCTGACTTCAAATCCCTAGCAAGCAAACATAACCTCTAGTACAAATGTCCAAGACCAGTGCAAGTGGTCATTAGCCTCCATCATTTCCAGTTTGCCAGAAACCAAGGAAAGACACCCAACTTCCAGTGAGCTTTCTTGTGTCAACCCCTTCCAAATATAGGATGCTTAGCTATACATATCCCCCTTGCCTGCCAAGTACAGGCAATACTGGCTGACACCATCACTATAATAACCTCTATTTTTATTTGGGAAGCTTTCATTTATTTACACAAGTCAACAACCTAAAGTCCTTGTTTTTCTTTCAGAGCATGAAAGAGTAAAAGACTAGAATAATGGCAGATGCTGGTCCCACACTTGCAATGCCCTTGGATGGCATTCCAAGAACTCTCCTGGGATTGCAGGATTAAAACACTGGTCTCTCTTGTCTTACTTTAAAACTGTACCATTTTATGATTTCTTTGTGCTCTCATTTCAGACTCCACCAGTAAGCTGGCCAGATGCAATGGTTCTCTCAGCAAGAGAAATATTCATGCTATGCACTGCTCAACCTGGCTCACAGATTTCCCTCTCAGAGTATACAGGGCTAAGGACCAAGAAGCACTCACTTTTTGTTCCTTCTTCTAGTCAAAAGACGCTAGGTCTACAACTTATTAATACATGGTCCATAAAAAGAATCTCACGATAAAATAACTCTGTGGAAAAGTAATATTAAATCATGCTAAAGAAGTTCTTGCTGAGTCTACAGGTCTCCACTGAATGTAGGGCAAAGACTCAGGATTTTACACACCAGGTTTCTTGCATTCTTCAAGGAATAGTGCATGGGCTGGACATCTTCAGAGCTTACTTTGTGAAGAAATGGAAAGGAACCATGTCCATAATTTTAGGGGCATCCTGGAGCTGGTGCCATTCATGTGAGCTTCATTGTCAGGCTGGGGTATTTAGTGGGTATTCTTCAACTAGAGCATTTTCTGGGGAAGGAATACTCATGAGTAGAGTAGAATAGAGGCCTTAGAATTAAAGGAGACAGTTCAGGTGATGGCAAGCCTATGGGCTGGAGAAATGCTGGCTCTAAGAAGCTATACTTAAAACTATCGTGCTACTTCCCCTTACATAGCACAAATTCTAAGTCAGAATTTGGAGTCAGACCTAGGGGGAAATGCTGAAAGATCAAAGAAGCAGAGCAACCAGCCACTAGATCTCACCTCTACCAAATCCTCAGACCAAAGGGGGCAATCCTGTCCTTACAAATCCTCACACTGAATGTGCAATCCTGTCTCTATGAATCCTCAGGCTGAATGGGTTGAGCTCCTGTCTTCTCCTGCCTTATGTTCCTCTCTCCACCAAGCCATATCTCTTCCTATCTCCACTTCCCTAGTTCTGGGATTAAAGGCATGTCATTCCCAAGTACTGGGATTGAAGGGTTTAAGCCACCATCACCAAGCTCTCTTTCTCTTTTAGACTGGATCAATCTCATGTAGCCCAGGTGGCCTTGAACTTCAGAGACCCATCTGCCTCTACCTTCTAGGTGCTGGGATTAAACATGTGTCACCACTGCCTGGCCTCTGTGGCTAACTAGTGGCCAGCTTCACACTCTGATCTTCAGGCAAGCTTTATTTGTTAAAGCACAAGCAAAATATCACCACACCCTTATGGCTGAATTATTCCTGAAGTGACTATCAGCTCAAAGTAATTTCTTTTTCTTTTTCACCCCCAAAAATCCCTCAAAGGTGGAGAAATATGGAGTTGAGCAGCAACTCAATTAGCTTTACAGGAACAGGAGATCCTCTGAGCAACCACAGTGCCTGCTTTAATAAAAAAACCGAGAGTTTGTTTAGAGACTTTAGCAGGGTAGTGTATATACCCTTGAGGGAAAGCTGTTCTTCCTCAATTGGGGAAATTCAAATTCATCCTCTCTGACTCAGCTGGCAACTTCAGGAAGGATGCTCATGGAGTTGTGAGGGAAGAAGGCGACAACTGCCTAGCTATCTAGACCAGCGGAATCAATACTGGCAATAAATGGGGTGATGGATGTCACTCTCACATTCTAGTGTAACAAATGAAAAGAAACATTGAAGCAGGTAGGAGGTCAAGACTTGCTTGTGCCATCTTTCCCTTTCACTCCAAACAGCCCTGCATGGGGACATGTTTCTTGCTTATGAGAAGGATATATAATTAAGTCCAACCTTAAAACTGAAATGGAACAAAGCTAGCCACAGTGAAATCTGGTGCTGGAGAAAGGCCTGTGAGCCCCATCCTCCCCACTAGGCACCACCAGATTGAGACCCAGGGCCTGAATCACTAAAAGTATATATTAGGCTTGTTAGCTAACTACTTCTCCAACACTTCTTTAAATTTGTGGTAGAAGAGTGGAGAACAAGACTCTTCCTGCTGGGAAGAAAGGTATGAAAGCAAGCTAGCATCAGGATTTGTCTGGACCCCAGTATTACTCCAGCTTCACTTTGACCCAGGACCTGGTAGAAAGTGGAGATTTTGTTTATCAGTCACACTCAAAGCTTTTAGACCAGTTCTAATATCAGCACCTGTGCTCTCCAGAAATAGACTCCAGTTTGGGCTTGCATTGGGCCCTGCTTTGGCAGTCTATAGCAGAGATGCTCCCTACCTGTGGCTCTGAAAATCTCTGTAGCTATGAGCCTTGTACATGACCCAGCTTAGTGCCAGCCTTGCTAGCCAGGGAACTGTCTCTGCTATTTATCTCACAATTCAGATAATGTGGCTTTAACAAGCCAGTTAACAGAATTCCAGCCTTGTCCTAGCACCAGGAATAGACTACACTTCATGTTTTGGCTTACACCAATACCAACTGAAGTGTGGTTCTTTGGTGTATGTGACCATTCAGGTCCTTGCTACCATGAGACTTAGGCACATCTCAGCCTAGCATCAGTGAGGACTGCTTTGGTCAACACTAGCTCAACCTAGTATGCTATAAGACCAAATCACTGCAGGTAGGGTAGGGGAGTAAGTGGCAGGTTTTAGCAGCCCTAGGACCAGATGAAATCTAACACAGATGAAAAGTTAATGACTCTTATTCCCAGGTTTGGCTACTAAGAGCTCTGGAAGATCTCCAGTGCAAGGTAAAGACATGGGGTAGTGGATTTCTAAAGCTTCTAGCATAGCTTAGGCTAGTTGCAGTAATCTGTTGCCACCATTACACTTCATCAATAGGAAATCATATGAGGGTGGGCCTTAGACCTACCCCAGTGATGGGCTACTCTTGGCAGCATTACTGGCCACAAATGTGACACTGAAGCTAGAGGCTTGTCTATCAACAGTGAATTTTTCTGAAGTCTGTCTGAGACTGCCCTGAGACAAACTTGTAGGGGCAGATGCAATTTCTTTATGGACAATAAAATCAAGAGTGTATTTGGACAAAAATGTACCTGACACAATACATATTCCCCACAGACCTTCATCTGGGAGCCACCAGTACTGAAACACGTGTAGCCCCTTCAAATTTCTGGGAAGGTGGATGCTGACCAAGATGTGCAGGAGCTCACTATTTGATAATGAAATGTGATGTGGGGTATCCTTCTATATGCTGTAAATATGTGTTGTTGTTGTTTTTTTTTTTTTTGGTTGATAAGTAAAGCTATTTTGGCCAATGGACAGGCAAAATATATCTAGGCAGGAATTCCAAACAAAGGAAGGTGAAGTTGAGGAGATGTCATGTAGCTGCCAGGGAAGCAAGATGTGAGTTGACAAGCCATGGTAAAATTGAGAATATTAGAGATGGGTTAATTTATATGTAGAGCTAGCCAGTAAGAAGCCCGGGCCATTGGTCAAACAATTATATTTAATATATTAGTCTCTGAGTGATTATTTCATAAGCAGCTATAGGGGACCCAGTGGGCCCAGGGGGTGCATAAACGCTTCCAACTACAGAGAGGGCCTCACATGTCTTACAACATCAAGTATTTTGGGGACACTGTCACCTCACTTCATGCCCAAAATAGGATTCTTGAAACTTACTGGGTAGCAACCAGTACAGGAAGGAATCAGTACAGGGGAACTTTCAGGAAATTTAGATACTTGTTTTAAGGAAAGAGGTTAATGAGACAGAAGGAAACAGAAATGCTACAAAGATAAAGGGAATTTTGAAAATCACTCCCCAAATCTGAGCTATAAAATAGGCTCAGCAAGTTAAAGTCACAAAAGAAGGTACCAGAAGACTAGTTGAAAAGAACTTCTAGTGATCTAGAATCCATGCTACCAC